GGGGTCGGGAGGCGTGGGTTGTGCGGGTCCCACCGACTCTGGCCTGACCCATCCGGGCGCGGCCAGCTGCGGCCGCCTGGGGACTCCCCAGGGCCCCTCCTCCTCAACTCTCCTTTCTTTCTGTTTTTTAAGGTTGGACACGTCGGTCGGGGCTGGAGGAGGCGAGCTTCCCAGGCCAGGTCTGACCACCTTCCTGGGCCCCAGCGGCGGCAGTGCCCCGTCCCTGGCCAGGCATCCTGCTTTGTAAGTTGTGCGCTTTGGGGGTGGAGGGTTCTGAGGTATGAGGAGCCCTGTCCTCACCCTCCCAGGACATGGTGGTACCTCTGAGGCTCCCAGGGCTTGGCAGGTGTCCCTGCCTGGTAGCGCAGCCCCAGGCTTCTGGGACACAGTGTGACCATTGTGCGGGGGGTTGGACGGGGGATGACTGAGGGCTGAGGCCCTCGGGGGCTAGCTCTAAGCGCCTGGCCAGCTCCTGGTGGCTTTGTCCAATCAGGACTACTTGAGAGCCACAGTGTACAGCCATTTGCAAAGGACAAGAACCCGCAGCCACAGGCTTGGCTAGATGGGGGCTGGCTCTCCCACCAAGCGGCCCCCGGTGGGGCAGCTGGTGTGGACACACAGGCAGCACCCTCAGGGCTGGTGAGTCAGGATGTCCTGGTTGCAAGGCAGCTGCTGTGGCTCCAGCCATCGCATCAAGGCGGGGGGAAGGAGGTGGCTGCTGTTTCTCTCAGGACAGCATTAGCCTCCCCACTCCCTGCTGCACCCCCACCTGTCGCCCAGCACCTTGACCGCATCTGGGTGACATAGGAAAGCCGGGACCAGGGTATCAAGCTTGTCTTAGCCTGTGGCTCACACTTTGGGCTGCCCACGGGAGGGAAGGGGGTGGGTGTGAGGCAGGCAGCTCACGGAGTTGGCCGGTCTCCCCTCTCCTGGGCACACCCTGGGAAGGAAGAACACACTGGTACAAATGCGTGGCCTCCCTCAGGCCTGTTCTGAACAGGGCCCCACCTGAAGACGGCTTGGTGGCCTAGAGGGAGGTAAAAAGGGCAAATACGGGGCATGCCAGGCCTTGAAGAGCTGCCTGGCGCTGTGACTTTCTGGCTGGCTTCTCGCAGCTAAGTGTCCTCCGTGCTGTTTTGTTGTTGCTGTTGACCCTCACCTGAGGATACTTGCCCGTTGATTTTTAGAGGGCGCGGAAGGGAGGGAGAGAGAAACAGAAACATCAGCTGTGAGAGAAGCACATCGATTGGTTGCCTCCCTCGCGCGCAGCTGGGGCTGGGAATCGAATCTACCGCCCCACCTCTAACCGCGGAGCAACACTGGCCAGGGTGCCCCTGTGCTTTTAAGCCTCTGTGTCCAAGGCTACCCGGGACCAAGGTCAGCGTTTCCCAGGCTGGTGGGGGCTGAGCCAAGTCTCAGCCCCTAGAAGTGAGGGGCCTGCTGCTGCCTGCACAGCTCCTGGACCCCCAACAGTCCCAGGTGCCCCCCGAGCCCTGGTTCCTCCCACAGGCAGTGCTGGGGGAGGGACTAGAGTGCTGCAGGCGGAGGACACAGCTTCTGCAGGGCCAGCCAGGCTTCCTCCCCAACCAGACAGGCCTTACCAGCCACCAGCCAGCCCCATCCCTTCCTTCCCAGTCTCCAGAGGTGGCCGGGCCTTATCTGTCTGGAATGGGGCAGAAGGGGGTTATCGGCTCTGTGGGCCTGGCTGGCTGGGAGGCCCCAGGGCCCGGGGGACACTCCCTCTCACATTCCTGAGTGCAGGGCTCTTGGACTTGCAGCCTCCCTGGGTTGGAATTTCCACTTTGCCCCCTCCCATGTGACTCTGGGCAAGTGGCTTAACCACCCTGGTCCTGGCCACCTCATAAGCAGAAGAGAGGATGGGGGTAAAGGAGTCATCCCACCTTACTGCCTCTCTGCCCCCTCCCTGGCCCCAAGGGACCCTGCCCCTGACGGCACCCTTGCCCCCGGCACTTGCTGGGCCCTGCTCTACAGGGAAGTCAAGCTCAGAGGCCCGGGTGCCCTCTGCCCCTGCGTCACGCCCCCAGCATGCAGCCCCAGGACACCAGTGTGCAGTACAGCAGGTGGGATGACGTCAGCATGGGTGCTGTGTCCAGCACAGAGGAGGCCTCCGGCTGGGAGAGGTGAGCACCGAGGGAGCAGCTACCTGGGTCCACAGGCCCCTCGGGCCCCCTGCAACCCTGCCGGTCCCTCCTACCAGCCTCTGCTCCATGCCCACTGGATGCCCACTCCACAGTCTGAGCAAACTTAGGCCCTTCATCTCTGCTGCTTCCCCACTGGGCCCCTCCAGGCTCACAAGTCCAATAGAGTGCCTCCCCCCCACCTTCCTTGGGGGTCCACCTGCCCCCCCGGGGGGCTCTCCTGGGGCTCAGGAGCTGGCTGTTTTCACCCTAGGCTCTCTGGGAAGCTGTGCTCAGGCAAACTGGGCGTCGCCATGAAGGTGCTGGGAGGAGTGGCCGCCTTCTGGGTCATCTACATCCTGGGCTACATCACCGGCTACTTCATACACAAGTGCAAATAAGTGCTGGCCGCATGCCATCAGGGCTCAGGCTGGGGGCACATGGGGCTACAAGAACCCCTTCATACACAGGCCCCATGTACATGCATCCATATACAGACTCCCCACCACACACACAGACCGCCAGATAGCTGAGGGGCTATGTGTGTGGCCCCCTTCCCTCCCTCCCAGAGGCTGAGACCTGCCTGGAGGACATTTCCCAGGCAGAGCAGGGAGCGAGGCCTCGGCCCTTACCCCAGATGTCTTTCCTTCCTGGGCTGTGCACTCCCAGGGACAGCCCAGCAGGAGGGGGCGCAGAGCATGCAAGCTCCCCAAAGCCATCATTAAACTCTGTTGAATGAATGATGATGGATGTCGGTCACGGGCCCCAGGCCAGGCGACTGGATGGGAGACCAGCTGGAGGGCATCTGGCAGCGGTGAGCAGGCCTGAGGGAAGGGCTTGCCTCTTGTGCTAGGCTTGGGGCCTCGGAAGGTGCCCCCTCCTGTCCCTTCTCGGTCCCCTTTCTCAGCAGTGCCCTCCCCTATTGTGCATGTGTCTCAGGCCCCGCAGACACTTGCAAGACACCTCAGGACTGAGGGCGGGAGATGAGGGCAGTCACTGTCTTCGTAGGCGTGTCAAGTCGGGAATGTCAGGCCAAGCTGGTGGGAGGTCATAGACCCCCAGAACCAGCCTACAGGGGTGCAGCCGGGTCAGGTGGACATCAGGTGACCCAGCCCCATCTAGGTGATGTTTGGGCTCAGAACCCGAGGAGGAAGGCAGGCAGGTCTCTGGGTCCTGCTATGGGTGGGGGCCAGGGAAGGTTACGGGGCAGTGGGGAGGGCCTGGTTCATCCAGCTCTGGTCTCTGGGCCTCAGCACCTGTTTCCAAGAAGACCCCACATCTGGGGAGGGAGGGGTGCAGCTGGTCCGCCTCTACTAGCCTCACACATGTGCCCCAGCTGGAGTCCCTCCTGGCCATCCCAGGACAGGGTGGGGGCTGTGGGGAGGTGGGCAGG